CAGGGCCCCTGGGGCCATCTCTGTAGAGCTCTGAAGGGTTCAGTTAGGGAGTTACTTGGCAAGGTATGTACTTTGTGTTACTACTCTTGAAGGCTTAGTGAAGGAGTCCTTGTGGAGGACACTTCTACAGGGCAAGGCGACAGACTGGGACAATCCAAGAAGGACAATGAGCTAGATAAAATTTTGCAGTACAACCAACAGAATTCATTAATACATTTGTGAGGAAAGAGAACAGCAAAGGATACAGGAGTGAATTTCCATCTCAATTTAGAAGAGGAACCATTTTGCAGAGGAGATGACAAATTCTATTTCAGATAGTTTAACTGTGATGAGTCTGCAGGACATCAAGGCAAAGATGTCTGAAGTTCAGGGAGAGTTCTTGGTTGGAAACACAAGCACTTATGATATGTGAAAGACAAACCATGGGAACATATGAGATCACTGGGGCAAGCAGGTGGGATGAAAAGGCCATGTACTGAGCAAAAGAAACCTGGGAAGTCCGTATTTTAGGGGCATAAGAGAAAACAGAGTCTTTAGATCATTCTGTACAGGCAATCAAGAACATTGAAGGTCAAGAAGATTGGGGGATGTTCAGTGATCTGTCCCTGAAAACAGTAAGATACAGCTTCACAAGGGAAGAGTGGACAGACTGAGAAGGTAGGAGGCTGAGATGACTCACAGAGGCCACTATTTTGAAGCAAAGGGAGTTAGGAGAGGGAGAAATTGAAAGCAGAGGGCAAAGAGGGGCTAGCTGATGAGCCAAGGCCAGGAGGAAGTTGGAGAAAGGCTAAGTGCAGAGGTGCAAAGCTGGTTCTCCTATATGAAGGATTATAGAGATGAGTTTTATTCCTTATGCTTCAAGCCATTTATAAATATTTGTTAATGAACATATATAAATTTCATAGGGCCAAACTTATTTTGTATTAATATAAAATCACACTGTAAATATTCATATCTACTAAAAAACTAACAGGAGAACTAAGTAGGATGAGGTACTCTGAATTTTTAATATAACAATACTTGTTACCTACAAGTACTGACCAAGAGACATATGGTGGTTGGCACTGAGGTCTAAAAAAATGATTTAATTTTTTGTAGTAACTGGTAAAAAGACCACCATTATTCCATTCCAGCAGTGAGATGCCTTAGTCCAGCCTACAGAAAACTGGCAGAGGCTCTTTAAGAACTAAGAGGCCTCTCCCAAATATCAGGATTACCATAGAAACCATGGCAACTGTTGCATTAGATGAGCATTTGCATATCAGCATTTGCATTTCTAACAATGTGTGATGCCAGTGCACTCAGGCTCAAGGATACATTTATTAAAAGGGAAATCATTGCTCTTATACAAATACAAAATGAAAGTGGATCAACAATTTCAGTTAGCTCAGTAATTTATGAGGGAACCAGTAAGATGTTACAACTGTATCAAAGGAGAACTAAAAAATACACATATGTTGATGATGCTAAAATAAATTCACAAACAGATGCACACGGGTCAACATCTACTGAAAAACAACCAATTACATTTTAATATTCTACAGGGTAAAATTCATTTGCATCTATTTCCATTTCTATGGACAAGAATCATTTGTGTTACTGTTAAGTTTTCTACACTTTACAGAGTTCTCAGATGGTCCACATACAATGAAAAGTGCAGGGCCTAAGAAATCAGATAATCTGATAATCTAGGTGAGATATCCAATAATCTGTTTTGGGTTCTGTTGCAGTTACTTGTTTTTCACTGTTGAGACAAACACCTGACACTCACAAGTTAAAGGAGGAAAGGTTTATTTTAGCTCACAGTTTGTAGAGATTTCAGTTCACAGTCAGCTGGCTCCAAGGCATGGTGGCATGACAGAGGAACATCAGAGAGAAGAAAGAGTTCATGGCAAGGCAAGCAGGAGTCAGCAAGCCACAGCAAGCAGCAGGCAGAAGTAGCAGCAGCAAGTCTGCCTCTCCCTTTTATCTCATCCAGGTTATCAGCCTTTTGGGTGGCGCCAACCACACCTAGGACAGGCCTTCCCTTATCCACCTGCTTAACCCTAGCATCACATCCTTAATCCCATATCACATCCTAATCCAGCCACTTTTGAAACTGCCCATCTATGAGTACATGAAGCTTTGAGGGGAACACTTAGATATGAGCTGTAACAGGTTCACTTCAAAGTCTTTCACAAATTTTTCCTGACAGTTGCCCCCTCCGTGATCATCATAACCTCAAAGAAAGATATCTTGACCATAACCAACATTTTAGAGAATGGGACAAATTCTGTCATAATTCAACAGAATTTTCATACTCTTTCTAGGGTCCTGGCTATTAAGCCACGAAGAGTCCCTGATTATCTCAATGAATACCCCAGAATCCCCTAACCTGCTATGTGCCCCCTCCCTGTGCACTTCTCAGCCCAATTATCAGGTACCTTGAATGGGGTCCTGGGTGACTATAGTCCCCCTCTGTTCCTTGAGTTCACTAAGAGGCACCTGGGACAAGAGAACCATCAAATTTCAGAGAGCAAACCACAGGGCATCTACAGAGAGAGGGTCAAACCCCTGCACACAGTGTTTCTACTTTAGTCAAGAGCATGGACAAATGCTCAAATGAAGCTCCACAGTTCTGCTCTATAAAGCTCCAAAGAGGCCCTTCTTTCTCTGGTGATAGGAATGCTGTGAGGAAAGGTGTTATGAAGCACCTGCCTCAGCCACTACATGGTGCCCTTTTTGTCCCATTGTTTCCAGAACAGCATGCCCTCTGCCTACAGGAGGAGCTGGCCACAGAAGCTCCTTAAGTAGCTGAGTGGATGGACTGCTCGATGAGGTTATTCAGTACTGTCCACTTGCACAGAGCTGAGTGTAGGCCAAATGTAATTTCCATTTTGGTGTACTTGCTGCTAAGCTGTTCTTGCTGGCTATAATTAGCCAGCATGTTCAGCTGCATCTTAAGAGCACTTATTCCTAATAAAAATAAAAAAATCTGATCATTGGCTCAAATGATGGATCAGGCCTTCCATTTGCCATGGCAGGAAGGCACACAGTACACCAACTGGCAGGAGCATGCACTCTTCAGCTAAGGCCACAGACTTACACTACTGATGTCAGGGACAGCCAAGAGACAACCACTTCTTCCACACTCAATTCTTTGTATAATGACCCTTGCATCAGAGACTCTGAAGGCAAAACAGGAGAGCCAAGAGGCTCCTGAGGACCAATGATGTCCTTAAGGGTTCCTTTTTCAGTGAAATGAAGCAAACTGAACACCTACAGGGTTGTCCAGCAAGTGATAAGCACTAGTCAAAGAGCAGTCTTGCCTAGGCTGGGGGTGTAGCTTAGTGGTGGACCACATCTGCAGCATTTGCCTGAGGTTCATCTCTAGTACTACAAACAAAGAAACAGTGACATGGACCCTGATGGATCTATCTTCTTGCCTTTGACAGAGAAGGCTGATCATTTAATCTCTACAGACCAGCACCCAACAGAATGCTTGGCGTAGACCAAGTGACCAGTCAACACTTCCTGATGGACAGATGGTGAATGGATGAATGGGTGGGTGGGCCGAGGGGTATGTAGGTTGGGTGCGTAGGTGAATAAGTAGGTGCATGGATAGATGAATGGGTCGGTGGCTGGATGATGACACATAAAACTGCCCCTGACTTAGGCAAAAATGTCTGACTTCTTGGAAGAATGAGTCATACGATCAATTGACAAAATAGGTGGGATGGCATTTTGAAGTAATATCTTATTTGACATAAACTGGGGAAAGTAGAACATTCCCTTTTGAAAGATGGTCTAGGGCTGTAATTTAGAGTCTATCGTGGGGACTGTAGCAGAGAGATAATTGTTAGTTCACTTGTTGAGTACCTACTAAGTGCTAGGGATCAGGGACCCAAAGGTGGATAGATCACAGTTCTTGATCTCAAGAAAATAGATGCTCAGTGGGCAGTTTTCCCAGTGGATATCTGCCAGGATTCTGATGACAATGGCTCTGCACCTGTCACATTCAGAAGCCACACAGCCAAGACATTCTCAGCAAAACTTCGCCTTCTCAAAGGTTATTTTAATAAACAATGCTACCTCCTCCCCTCTGGTAGGAGATAATGGTCTGGAGAGTGAAGGGAGCAGATTTCAGCTAATTGAGAACACAAAGGGGTAGGACTATCACTGCAGCCAGGTGCTGGGTGGGCAGAGGGAAAAGGGCCCCAGGCTCCAGCTTGAGTAATACAGTAACGAAGGATGCTAGTAATAGGATGGAATGGCCATGGTGGAATGAGGAGGACAAAGTCAAGGTTAAAAGCCACAAGATGTGTTTTTAAGCCCTAAATTTGTGATGTCTCTGTGACCACTGGGTACGAATGTTCTATCCCAGGACTCCATAGATGGAGGTCTGGGTCATAGGGAAAGGTGACCATCATATCATAGGAACACTGGGGGCTTCTCAGGAGGACCTGCTGGGACAGCAGGAGGGGACAGCAGGTGAGTTCATGGATGGAACATGCCATGGACAGGCAGAAGGGCAGAAGCAAGAGAAAAGCTAAGCTGCTGGGTAACCCAGGAAGGGAGCAGTCTAAAAAAGGGGGCTAGTCTACAAAAGGGGAGCTGTCTAAAAAAGTGAGGTTGAAGCAGGGAGGAAAAACAAGTCTAAACAATACTTCGCACCATGCCTATACTAGAGAAAAATCCCAAAGATGTACACTGTTGTTACTGCAAACTCTCAAGCCAGCCCCGGGGAGAGGCACCCTCACCCCTTTCCAAGTGCACTCTGGGGAGGACCACACCGTCATCCCCACATCCAGGTCCCCACAGGAGCCCTCTAATAATGCTTCCCGTCCTCCTCCCAGCACATGCCACCTTCCTTTTTCCTAAAGCGTGAGCAACCCATAAAGCACCATGACATTTCTCTGGTGGTTGTAGGTCTGGACCAGTAGTAAAAAGTTTAGGACATTACAAACTCATGAGAAAAATCTCATGACTGTTGAGAGCAATAGTTCTATTAGGCTACTCACTGTTTTCAGACAGCTCCACAATGTAGCGAAGAACAGGGCTGTTCCCATCGAAGGGCCGGACCCAGGAAAGCACCACGGCGTGGCTTCGTGAGGGGCTCAGGCTGGCCAGGAGGTTCTGAGGTGGGTGGGGCAGTTCACTGGAATGAAGACAGGAAAAGGGATGAGAGAAAAATGCACATCAGCTGACGTTAGCTGGGTGCTTGTGCCAGAGTCCTGGTGTGAGGCCTGGGAATGGCAGACCTGAAATATACTCGGACCCAAACACGGCTCACACCTCCTCTCCCTAAAAAGGAACAAAGCCCAACTCCATCACTCTTGGTGCCACTGTGTTTTCTAAACATAATTCGATTGAGTCCCTGTGGTATCAAAACAACTAATGGCATTGCCACTTAAATGGGCAGCATGTGTGCACATTTTTATACAGTATATTATTTAATAGAGAAAATCTGGTCAACAATTTTTTAACAACCAGAAGCTGGTAATGGAAATGCAGCAAAGCATATAAACAGGAAAAGCCCTGGCAAACACGATTCAGTGTGAAAGCTTTCCCAATAGCCATTTGGAGTTACTAGCAAAAATGCCCACATGTATTCCTAGACAGAGTTGCCTCATTTATTGACAGCATGAGGTTACATTGTCATTCTGTCTTCGGTTGGATAATGGGGGTTGGGGGAAACACTTAAAAGGAAATGCGGTGAAAACACTAATGAAAATCCCATGGAAATGGTAAATAACACATCAGCAGGGCTATAAAATGGAAAGGCAATTAAAGCAAATAAATTCTAAAGAGAAATTACTAATAAAAAAGTTGTTACTGGGATTTACTGGTGGCTGCAGATCCTACAGTGTCGTGTGTCCCAGCCATGGTCCGTCAGCCTTGGAGTCATGAGCGCCCAAGTCGTCTTGAGTAATAGTCTGAGAGTAGCACCGGCCCTGTGGTACTTCTAGATGGCTTCCCCTCCTGTAAATGTTCCCAGGCAGTGCTGGCATAGGGAATGCTCTTTTATCCACTAACTAGTTTGGGTCTGTCTCAGGCACCAGTTACTGCTAAGCCACACAGGTCAGAAAAAAAGGCCATCATTAAACTTGATATTTTTAATTTAAAAAATGTATGCATTATCCTTTGAAATTCATGAAGCTGTTCTGTGCTTTCAGCTACCTAAGAAACACAGCTCTCTCTATCCCATGAACACCACTTATAAACTCACCAATATTTCTCATGTAGATGGCAACTCCATTATACATTAGCACAGTAAAGCATAAACCTGAGCTTGGAATGTTACCTTGTTTTCCCCTTAACTGTGAGTTAAGTTTTAAATCAGAAAGGGGTTATTATTTCGATTTGAGTTTTCCAATAACTAAACCACCACGAGATTTCCAATGAAAAACAATACAGAGGAAACACTGGAATAAAAACATCTATCCTAACTCTCCCAATCCCCATTTCCTATTTTTTCTGCCAGTATGAACTGGTTTTATCTGAAGCCAAACCAGGGATAAAATAGCTACACCTGAAAACAAACCAAGACTAATCTTGGATAAATATATAGTGAATGTTTAAATATGTATTACAGTAAAAGACACATTACCATTAACCCCCCTGAAGATATTCCTCTTTGCTTCTAACCCACTTCTCCCATCACTGGTGCCACTTTCTAAAGCACTTCTGGAAGTCTTCTCGTGACTCTTTTAATGATGTATGATAAGAAATATGGTGAATGCTGCTTCTGATGTCAAATAACATCCAGCAGAAAGGTAGGCCCCTAAAATCTTTACAGTGAGTCCTCATCCACCTTATACCATGGATTTGGCACTGTGTGGCTTCTGGCTCTTTCTTAGAGTCAAAATGACAATGAAAGGAAAACATTTTGAATCAATACAGGATATTGAAACAGCAAAACTAAAGTGCAACTAAAGACACTTATGAAAGAGGACTTCCAGAAATGCTTCAGAAAGTAGTAAGAACGATAAAATTAGCATGTTCAAAGCAAGAAGATGTATTTTGAGGAAATTCATTGTGATGTGTCTTTTACTGTAATAATTAAAAAAAACCTAAGCATTCACTGTAGTTAAAAAAAAAAATCTTACCTGGTATATATCCAAATAAGACTGTGAATAATAAAGAATGTATCTAATCTAGGATGGAATTCTAAGCCTTGAATGTTCTGAGGAATGGTACTGTCTTTTTAATTTATGGTGGGCCTCCTGACCACACCTGGGTACGTGTTTATGAGGTGACCCTGGTAGCCCCTTGATGGTTTCAGGCTGGAAAGAGAGCCATGTAATTACAGGGTGGGAGCTTCTGCCAGGGGTATTTGCCACAGGTTTCTGATGTCTGGAGGCTAGAGATTGAGTTCAGTTATTCGCCAGTATTTCAATCCATGGGGAAACCCCATGAAAAGCCCTGGACCATGGAGCTAACTGAGGCTTCCCTGGCTGGGAATACGTAGAGGGCAGATGAGGACATGGGATCTTCCTAGACCTTGTCTCATTCTTTTCTTCCTTTGCCTGGTCCTGACTTTTCTCCTTTGTAAGAAAATTATCGTCTACTTATAGGACTTTCCTGAGGCCTGGTGGTAAATTAAAACTGCAGGGTACAGTGGGAAGCCCCAAGTTTTAACCAGCTGGGCAGAAGAACAGGTGGTCTGGCAGCTTGGAGTTTGTGGCTGGCATCTGAAGGGTAAGCATCTTGTTGAGGACTGACTGACATGTGAGATCTCTGCTGTCTCAGTGATAAGTGTCAGAATGCCACTGTGGGGATTGTCCTTGAAATGGAAGGTTTTCTGACCCAGAGAGTGTAAACTCTGGGAAGCTGCTGGAGTTGTCTAGAAGATGTCCTGGCTATTCTTTGTGTGGACTCTGCTGGTGCTCGAAGAGGTTCCCTGTCTGCCATGCCTGCAGCCCCAGGCCTCAGGGGCAGACCTAAAAAAGACACATGTCCAAAGGGAGCTCACATGCGGCCTTTTAGGACAGGACAGGAAACAATTCCAATTTCACATGTCAGGGGGATTATGAGGGCTGACAGTAAGGTATGAATCATTTCTCCACTAAAACAAGTGCTTTTACTGTCCATCCTTTTTTCTAGCCAAAAGTGCATTGAGCAATGACCAGTCTTACAATGACTGCCTTTCTTCTCTTGAGGCTGGACAGCTTGGTGAACTGTGGTCCAGGTGCACTCACTCATCTGGAAGCCACTACCTGAGCGCTTCCATTGCCTGGTGCCAGCGTACAAGTCCCTGGACTGTGCCCACGTGCATTGCCCTCTCTCAGAATGTGATTCCTGTGGTCATGGAGGTCCTGACCTCTGCCTCCTGCAGAGCATAAGTGATCACTAAGAAGGCCACAGAGCTTGCTCTGAGGGGCACAAAGAACAGCAATGGGAGCTGAGGGCCTGGGATTAGGGGTTAAAAACACCTTTCTACTAAGACTGTTAAAAAAGACCTAAGAACTTAAGAACAAAGTGGTCTTAAGAACTTTAGTGCAGGACCTGAGTCCCTGCAGCTGAGTGGCATGGGGATACATACACACACACACACACACACACACACACACACACACACACACGACTGCTATCCTGAAATCTCAGGAAGCATGGAATTGCAACCACTGCTGCCCATGGCTCAAAGCTACACCCCGTATAATGACCTTGTCAGCTGTGAGCTTTACACACTTCATGGGGTTCAGAGCTGGAATGGGATTTGTCTTTCCTAGTTATAGTCCCTGTCTAATGTGAACATCTCCCAACATATTTCTTGTGCCCAACATTACCTGTTTATCTATATTGATGAATGTAACTGTATTTATACCTACAATGAACCAATAAACTTAATAAAAATATCTTTTTTTTTCTGATAGTGGCACTGGGAATTGAATTCAGGGCCTTCACATTGAGCTGCATCTCCAGCCCCTGCCTTAATTATTTTTTTTATTTTGAGACAGGGCTGCCTAGTCTCAGCTTGAATTTGAGATCTTCCTGCCTCAGCCTCGAAGCAGGCTGGGATTACAAGTATGCATCACCACGACTGCTGCAAGGAACCTTTTAATAGATACTGAAAATATAAACCTTAAAGTCTTTTAAATAAATCCCAGTTACCTTTGAAATTAGGGTTTGTGAGACCCTTGACTAACCTGTCAATAATAGACAAATAGGGCTGTAATATATTCTGAATTCATTTCAGAAAATCTTATCTAATAGGAATGGATTACATCCAAGCAGTTCTCTGCCAACTTTGAAAGGAGATAAATGATCTGCCATGACTCACAGACAATGATAGCTGGAAGGGTGACAAATGGAAGAGATCTTGAACAATGGAAATGAATCCCAGTGCTGAGTCACTGCGCAATGTAAAGGGAACGAGGAGTTACCATCAGGCAAATTACACCACGATAATATCAGAGATTAACAACAAAAGTAACAAAAACCCAGACTATATGGGAAGGAGACTGAGCAAGGTGTTTGTGAGGAAAACGGCTTAGAGGAGAGAGAACAATTGGCGAAATTGCAACTGTGGGGAAATTGCTCAGGCAGAGGAGGGTTGGGGCGGCATTTTCCATATGAGAAGCACTGCGGGCGGATGCTGGAATGATGACTCGGTCAAAGCTATCTTCTCAGCTTTGCAGTGAGAAGGAAGATGATGGGGCTCGGTATTAAATTGTTCGCTCCTTATTAGGGCTTTGTCAGAAGTACTTTTATTAAAAGAAACCTCTCTGGGATAGGTACTTAGCTCAGTGGTTCTGCCACCTGCCTCGCAAACACAAGGTCCCAAGTTCGATTCCCAGTACCAAAAAAAAAAAAAAAAAAAAAAAAAAAAAAGAAACCTCTTCCACTGCCCCAGGTCTGAGTCTTCCAGTTGGCTCTGTAAATTAGTTTTTCTCCTACTCCAGGCTCATAAGCATTCGCCTCTGAATGCAGGAGGAGAGAGGCAATGCTAAATGGGTCTTTAAATGATTGAACAATTAATCAACTCATAAAGCCCCAGGAGCCTGGTCCCTCTGTTGTACTCAACAGGGCACACAACGCTTTGGAGGATACAGAATCACCTCAGGAACCAGCTCCTGCCCTCACAGCACCAGCAAACTAGGAAGGAAGACACAGCTGAAACAAGGGGTGACAACATTTAACACTGACCTGTGCTGTCAATTCGCAGGACACATAGGGGACCATCTGGAATTGAGAAGCCCTTCTCTTAGGGAGGGGATTAAGGCAGAGCCCATGGTAACCACTCATCCTTGATGTGCACAGCACACTGTCCTACTTCAGTGAGTGGACTGAGGCCTACTCAGACTTGTACTGGAAACCTCCTATGTGCCTGGCACAGGAGTCGCAGCAGCAACAGCAGCAGCCACCTCTAGTGAGTCTGAGGTCACTAGGATGTGAATGAAACTAACATGGGCTAACTGAAAGAAAGCCCCTGCCAGAGGCCACAGTGTCCTGATGCGGGGGAGGAGCCCCTTTTCCTAAGATGGAGATGAACCAGCAAGATTAGAATTTCTCCAGGGTGCCTCTTCAGCTGGGCTCCAACAAGCCGGGCTCCAACGGGTTTATCTGATCCTCACAGCATGCTTTGAGGTCAGTCTGCAAGCTGAGCAAACTGAGGCAGGGAGGAGAGATCTCCTGTCATCGTCCCTGACTGTCATGGGTATGAGGCATCGCTACTGTAACTGGCTGAGTCAGAGCTGAGGCTTGGTACTCAAGTGCCGAGTGAGGGACAAACAAGCATGACCACGTGCCAAAGCACTGTCTATTTTTGAGAATCTCACTTCTAATGATCCTAATTTCTATATTTAACAAAGTAGCTTTTAGCTGAAGTGGAGAGGAAAGGGGGAAACAAGCTTTTAGGCCTCTGAAGGACACTGCTTAGCCGTTAAGTACCTCTCAGACCCTTCTGTAGTATGAGAGTTTTTATTTCCCTTGCTTTATTTTTTTTTTTTTTGCCGTGAGTAAATCACGAAGATGTTACAGATCTCTATTTGGAAGACTGTGAGAAGCACCAAATGCCCTACAATTGTGTTATTATTATCATTATTATTGTCATCACTGATATTTTAGAGCTTCAGGCCTGCTTGGATCTGGAGATGAACAACTCTCCTGATTTGTTCAGACATGGAAAAGTGTGGTGTTTTTAACACCAGTAACTCACAAGACCAATAGCCTTCCAATCAGCTCTGCAACCAGTGGCACCTAAACTGGTTTAAATCACAAATCTGCAAATATTTCTATATTTAGAGATGAGGTGTTTTACCACTGCAGAATGCCTATTATTTTACACATACAGCAACATTTGCTGAAAAATGTATTTTACTTAGAGGAAATCAAATAAGCAAATAGCACGGAAGATATGTAAATCAGTAGAACATAAAAACTGTGCAGAATAAAAAGAATGTGTTATATTGGAAGTATGCAATTTGGCTTCTGCTGACAGAGTCTTTATGAACTGCTAACATTTATTATTTGATACCAACAATGGATGATCTAAGAGTTCTCAAAGGTAGTTTAAAAATGTGAATAGCTTGGGAGATTATATGAATTCACTGGTGATGTACTCCAATATCATCAAAATGAAGAACAGGAAACTCTGACTTGAGACCCAGAAGGAAGGAAGAAGAAATGGTAGAGATATGCAAGGGCTTTGCTGGAGGGACAGGAGCTCATGTGTTTATTTAATGAGAAACCAAGGGCCATGAGCACCAAAGGTAAGAAGGAGTCTGGCCATAGACCTATACATATCACTTCATTCGTTCATTCAGACAGCATATAAGACTCTCTCTCTGGCACTCAGAATGTAAACCTGTGCCTTGAAGTGCTTGAGGAGGGGAAAAAACCAAGGAGGTAGAGCCCCATGCCACAGTGTGGTCCAAGTCCATGCTTCAGGGAGGGTGGGAGGACCACAGCAGGCATCCCATGTCCAAATGGCAGGAAAAGGTGCCCTGTAGTGGAATGTGAGAGTACATGTGGACAGACCCCTTGCAGGTAGTCCTGGAAGAAGATACAGCCACACCATGGAGACTGCAGATGGCTGCAGCATGCTGGATGGGGTTGGGGGCACAAGATGGGTGGAAAGGAGGTCCACTGCTGATGGCAGAGGGTAAGGAAGACCCTAGCTGGAAGAGAACAAGGAGTCATCTGGGGAGAGCCAGAATGGGAAGTGCAATGGAATTTTTCTAGGTACTGATGGTACCACAGGGCTTTTTGGACTGGCTGCTACACATCACTAAGCTTTTACATTCCACAAATAGGGACACGACTAGGGAAGTGTGCACTGGGTCGCTCATTCACACATGCGCAGATATGGGGCCACAAAGCACTTAGAAAACACTGTTTTCATTCATCCCCTTGGATGGCAGCAAGGGAGTCAAAGACAAACAAGACTTCTATACTCTGATGCTGCTTGTAGGGAATGATTTTTGTATACAGAGTCCTTCTCAGATCAAGACGGGAAGAGTGTGTAAGAAAAATTTCCCATGACTGCTTTTTCCTGATGACTCAACATGCCCAGCGTTGGCAGGGATGAGGGGCAGGGATGTACCAGTCTGGCTGCTGCACTGGCAACTGCACTGCTTTGATTCCTTATTTTTGCACTCACGTGTTCTGGAGATATCTAGGAGGGCAAGGTTTTTAACAAGTAAATAAATACATGTTGGAAAAGTGAAATTTGTCAGCAGCTGTGTGAATTAAAAGGGAGTGTGGAAAGAGCAGGAATGGAGATCGATGGTTCCCACCTGCAACTCTGGACCCCCAGGAAGGTCTGGATTGGAAGTAATGGGAAGCTGCTTGCTATTTTCTGGATTTCAAAAGACTTAATAGAAAGTATCTATTTACCCACAGGGTGGCAGCTGGGACTGACTTAAGATCCAAGCCTAGAAGGCTGTCACGGCAATGGTCCTGCCTTGTGGGCTGACCCTGACACTTTTTACTGATCAAAAGCTCTGCTGGGTAATCAGGAGGAAAATAAACTCATTCCTTTCTTCTTCTCTTTTCCTTTCTTTTTATTTTTGTGCTATAGACGATTGAACCCAAAGCCTTCTCATTGAACAACATTCCCAAGTCCTCCTTACAGTTTTTCATTTTGGGGTCTCACTAAGTTGCCTTGTTACCCAGACTGGACTCACACTTGTAGTCCTCCTGCCTCAGCCTCCCAGAGTTTAAGGATTACAGGTTTGTGACCATAACCCCGCTTCACGATTTCTTAACTATAGCAAGGTAAAACAGCCTATCATGATACAGCATTTGCACAGGAAATACAATTGAGATTGATGGGGTCAGTAACCTCTAATCAAACTATATACACTAAGAATGAAACATTTGAAAGTGTTAAAAAAACTAACAACTTGTCAGGGTGTATAGCTGAGTGGCATGGGATGCTAGCCTTGACTGGCTGCTTGGGATACCTCGTGGACACTGTGCCTGTGCCTGTGGAGTGGCTGGCATTGGAAGGACTCAGCTGCAGGCAGCAGCGCAGACCTGAGGATGGTTAACACTAACATCCAGTACTCACATCACTTCAAGCCGGGCCGTCCTGGAATCGTTCCCTCCCTCAGATATGATTTCACAGGTGTAGTCTCCGATATCGCCAGACCATGTCTGGCTGATGAGCAGGGACCCGTCCTTCTCCACCACAATTCTAGAGCTGCTAGATGGGGTGATGACTGTGTTGTCCTTCTTCCACATGTAGCTGTGGGCCAAGCACAGGTTCTTCAGTCACAGAACCTTGGGAACAGGGTCATGGGCTTTCCCATTTGTTAAAAGGAAAGCAATTTAAGACCTTGAAAACATACTAATAATCACTGAATTGTGCCACTGAAAAAGGGAAATATTACAGTATATGAATTATATTTAGCAGGAAAAAGAAAAATAAAAAGAAAAGTTAGCAGATATCTTGGTCAATATACAAAAGTGGGTGCTGAAGTTAAAACAAGCCCACGATGATGAGTGGAAGCCTTTATGTGTGTCTGGGAGTTAAGGGCTACATGACACCTGCATATCGATAACCTACTAAATGGTATCTGACCAGGAATAAGCTTGCAAGGCAAGAGTGCCACCTGAAGGGGGGGTAATGGTGTTTAAGACCCCCAAGGTGGAATTACCCATCTCCTGAAAAAAACACGTCAAAATCATACTCATACATTCTTCAAATCCTACTTTTCTGGCAGATGGTCCTTAAAATTGCATTTCTCCCTTATTTAATTTTTATCTCTGGCTATTTTAGCCCATTTTTCTTTTCAAATGCAGAATCAATTAAGAGCCTGCCAGATCTTTAGACATCCCTGAGCAGGGCCACTACTCACTGCTAGATGAGATGAAAAGTGCTGTTTTTCTTTTCCAGAACAATTTGATCAGATTTTCAAATATACTCAGTTCTGTAAAGCCTTCATATTCACAAACACAGACATTTACAAACTCCTCATCTGAAATGACCCAGAAATAGAATAAGGCATATTTCACAAGAAGGGAATGGACAGATTAACACTTACAGCCCAGGGCTCCTGGGCCAGCAAAACCTGAGATAAGGGGAACAATTCAGTTCCCTCTCAGTAAGGGGCTTCCCATTTAATCTCACATAAAATGCTACAAGAAAGCCACGCTGATCCAAAGGGACTCTTCTTGAGCTCTCAGAGCAGCAGAAAATCAGACCTGCTTGTTCTTCCTTCTTTGAAATCATGGTCCCAATCATTATTCAGAATGAATGGATTCTTTTCTAGGCATAATAATCATCTCTAAGTCAGCCTTCAAGGGTTTGCTAGGTAATCTTTAACATGCTAGTTTCTATTTATTCATTTAGTTTTCCATTCAGCACTTTTATAACTAAACCAAACCTGTTTGGTGTCCTGGGGACCTTCAGAGAGCCAGGTGGTGATACAGAAATTCATGATTTGCCAAACCCCCATGAGCAGTTGGCTTAGTGCATGCATCGACAATGATCCCTTCTGCTCAATGCAGAAATGTCCCAGATGCAGCAAGACATCTCTATTCTATCCCTTTGATGAAGGGCATGTTTTGGAGCTGAGGCGAGGGTGACAATACTATGATGGCAGGATCTCTTTCTTCTTTTATTCTCAAACTGATGCTGACAATTAAAAACTGTTTTGCAAATGCTGCCCTTTGGGGCAGAGCTCATGGCTGTGAGTCATCTGTCTGTATCCACATATTCCCTAGAGTGTCATGATTTTTATGACCCTCTGGACTAAATTCAAACCAAGACAGGGTATCAGAATTGCTTTAAGGAATCTTTAGGTGACCCACATTCCTTATGTATTTTCATATGTATTTTCCCCGTGGTGCCTTGGGTAACTGTGGCTACCTTTCTTCTAAATACAGGCCCTTCTTGCTCCCCTTTCATAACAGAACCATCCTTGGAGTAGAGAAAACCCTCATGAGTTCTGTAGAGCTCTGTGTAAATACTGGTGAAATCCTATTCCAACCCTCTGGATTTTTGTCTCATTAGGTATCAGTCCCTGACAAGTATGTTTTACAGACAGTGTATTAACCTTGGCAGAAAAATCATGAAAAGCTGTACTGAAGTCATGAAATTGAACATGGCTCACTGTAAATAATATATAAAGTTGGAGTGGAAAATGGGATTCCTGTAATTAATGATGGAGCCCATGACTATAAGATATCGTAATCAGGTATCTGCCACTGAAATAAAAGTTTTCAAATTCTTTCTTCTCATCTCTACTCAGTTCATAAGCTCACAGAGTTTCAATAAGGCCCAAAGTATCATAACGGACTGAACTGACCGGAGAGAAATCCGGGGGTCATGAGTGGCTCCGCAGCGCAGGGTGGCTGTGGTCCCCTTAATCACCACACGGTCCTCAGGGGGCTGAACAATGGAGGTTCGATCTGAAACAACATAAGTCACAGCTCAGATGACACTGAATTTGAGAGCTTTGTCCTCTGGGGCTTGACGAGCTGGTCATCTGACATCAAAACCTCCAAGTTTTCTCTTATTTTGGCAAAGGAGTATGGATGGAATGCTCAGAAGTGTTCAGGGAATTTTGAACAAGCTTTCTGCTCCCAGCAAAATCAGCCCCCGCCCCCAGTCATCAGGACCCTCCTTTCCTACAGAAGAAAGTGAGAGTGGAAGATCATGGGCAGAAGACTGATTAAAATCCAGATTCCTCAGCAAGATAATCACCATTTTAGCAATTTCTAATGTTCTCACAGCACTTTGACTTCACACAGTGCTTTCATTTATGCTAATTTATTTAATCCCCGCAGCAATCTGCTGAAGGCTGTAATATCATCACTCCCAGTCTTCAGGAATGAAAACAGATGCTCAGGAACACTGAGACTTTCCCAGTACCACAGAGCTCATGAGGGGCAGGGCCCCCAACTCCACAGCTGCTGCTAAAAACCCCAGGCTCCCTGTAGATGGCCTGTGCAAGGTGTGGCCCCACACTATACCACCTTTGTGAGTGGTGGGGGTGGCCTGGTGCCACACACAGAACGCAGACCTGGGAGTCATAAGGCTAGGTTCAAGGCACAGTGTGCTACCATTCATAAGGCTAGGTTTGAGGGTATGTGCTACCAGTGCATCAAGAAAAATGTTTCTGAGCCTTGTTCTTCTTGTCTGTGACAAGGTAACAGGTAATATAGGTTGAAAATAATCTGTAAGCCACTGAAGTGTTATACTAATCATTCTAGTATGATTATGATTTTGAATCTTAGCAGAGCTACAAAGTTTTTTGGTGAGTGATCTACGGAGATTTAGAGCTCACTTTTTCACAACGTTTTAAATGCATGGTCAATTTTTAGGGATGCATGATGAATAAGAATTAATTGAGTCCAACCACCAAATGGAACAAAATCTCTTTTTTAGTACTTGCCAATATTGTGGAAATTTGGATTCATTTATTTTAAGCTCTTGATGTTTTTATAACACATAATAGGTTAGAAAAGGGTCATTTATCAAATTGGACACCAGCTATATGATAGAAAATGCTAAACAAATATGAAATGAAGCACTATGATTTTTCTTTAGGATGACATTTCAACATATTTTTCACTCAAGTGAGTTAAAACTTTCCCTTGTTAGATAGCCTTATGAAAAGTACTGTCTTTTGCTTTTTTGAAAAATGAGTTTTTAGTAATATAGATTTAGATGAAGAAGAGGGGAAAAAGTGCTTTGGCACTTGCAGCTAACAGGGAGTAGGGTGGTATTTGGTACTCCAATCCTTATGCTCCAGAAAACAACTTATTCTGCATTTCAGAAACTAGTATCATGGATAAAATAAGAGTGAGAATACCTGGAGAAACAATAAAGATTTTCTTCCAGTTTGCCCTTAATATATAAGAAACATTCATAGTCAAATAAACCAGAGGTCTTTGTGATCATTAGATAATATAGAAAAATATGCTTCCTTTAGGATTTTAATTTTTGGTTCACTTTCCTTATAAAGTTAATCAATATATCAGTTTTGTTATTGAGCTGGTTAAGTATGATATTTCCACTGACTTCTAAAAAGTTTTTTATCGTTCCTGAAACATTCCCATTAAATCTTTGAATACATCTTCTAGTTATTCTTTTACAACCTAAAAAATTAATTACTCAACAGATTTCTGTAAATTAGTTGCAAAAACAATCATTCTCTTTTCATTAAGCGAGAAAGTCAAGGGCATATTGCTATCCCCAAGGCATAGGAAGCATGATGCTGAGCACATGAACAGGAGGTGAGCAGGGACTGTGGTGCTTACTCCACACGGTGAGTGCTGCAGACGCGTTCAGGGACCCCTCCGTGTTGACTGCATAGCAGGTGTAGTTGCCAGCATCCTGGATGAACACAGGGGTTATCTGCAGACCACCTGATTCCAGCAGCATGAACCTAGGAATCTGGACAGAGCCACTGGCCAAAATGTGGTTTCCTGAAGACCAGTAGAGAAAACAGGAATGTTAGAGCCATAACCCTTGAAAGAAAAGAAAGAAATGGTTAGGGTAACAACCAAGAATATAACTTAAGGAAATAATTTGAGTAAAGTGAAAATTTTATGTACAAAAATAACCAAAGTACTTTTGTTAGTATTAGAGTAATGAAAACCAAGAACATCCTAACTGTCCAATATTGAGAGACTTGGTTAAACAAACATGATCTGTGTATAGGATCATTTTCTTGGGTGAGTAGTTTTTATGTTTCTGTGTATTTACGTGCATTTGAAATTTTTCTATATAAAGCTATGATATTATAGTTCAAGAAAAAGAAAAGAAACATATAAAATAAAAGAAGCAAACAGAGCATAGTAGTGTACACTGTAATCCAGTACTCTGGGTGCCTGAGGTAGGGGGATCTCAAACTCAAGCCCAGCATGGGCAAGTTAGTCAGTTTGTCTCAAAGTAAAAATGAAAAAATATTGGAGACATAGCTTACAGTGACAGCATGAAGGCCCCAGGTCCAACCCCTTGTAACAAAAACAACCCCCCTCCCATAAAAACCATACACACACATAAAAAGCAGCAGGTCTTTCCCAGTTAGTTCTGACAATAGCAGAACTATACCCTGAGGTGGAAAAGCCACCATGCAGCTTTCTGGCAGTGTGGACTGGATGTGACTTCTGAAGTTTCCCCCAGATCAACTTTCTAAGCCTGATTGCTCAAGCTATGTGAATCAACACAATTCAGTACAGCCTTGTTCCAGATGGGCTCTGCCCATGTACCTGACTTGTAAAATGGGTTATGGGGACCACAGAGCCAGCCTGTGCCATTGACACTATTCTTCACAGGGCCTGGAAACAGTTGTAACTAAGTCTGCCAGACTGAAATGAGGAGGATATAAAATGATGCTATGCTAACAGAAAAGAGAGAGGGAGAAAAAAGACATGCTTCCTAATTAAGTTGAAATCCAATACTTCATACTTTAAGGGCCCACAGGGAGCTGAGGGCCCTTTATAAGGACTTAGGTAAAGGAGGGCGACATTTGCACAGTTCTTATTATCTTTTACTGTCTGCTTCCTCTTCTAGAAGGCTGGGGTCTTGTCTGTCCTTATGCCCTGGTACCTGGCAGGGGTATTCAGAGAATGGTGAATGGTTAATCTTTACTTAATGGATGACTGGACAAATGAGTGTGAAGAGCTGAACACAACAGTGCCCTGACACGTTATTTTCTACATGGGTTGTGCAGGTTTGGAAAGTCAAAGCCACCTGCCTCTCTTCCATGTGATGGCAGGCTTGGGAGCCCCAGACACCTCACACCGTAGGACAGCTGTCATCCCATCAGTCACTGTGGTGTCAGCTGGAAGCTCGGTAAACGTTGGGGCAACATCTGTGGAGAGGAATTAGGTAGTGAATGCTCAGTGCACCGTCCTTAAGCGGGCAGGACCCAAGAGAAAGCCTGCTGGAAAGTACCAGACTGACTTCTCAGAACCGACTGCACAGACAGATAAGAGAAGTAAAAGGAAAACCTTTAAGGAGTAACTATAACTCCCTGTTGCACAGGGAGGAATTACCTTTTTAGGGTTACAACCTGAACAGAAAGGGGGCTCACAGCTGCCAAGAGCACGGCCCAGGAGGAACAGTTTTAATGAATGCTAATGAGAGGAGAGGCATTTATTCAGAGAAACCAAACTGCCTCTGTTTTCTAACTAAAAGCAAAAGCTATTTTTTGAATATAAAATATCCAACACAAGATGACACATTCATGCTTCCTAGGATCTGTTCTGGCAGTTGAGATCATTGGGTTACAAGGACCTCAGTAAGGGTCCACCTCCCCAGGTGTCAGGGTGTCTCCCACTCATGGGGCTGCAAGGGCCACCAGCCCTGGCTCAGGGAAGGATGTGGGCAGGCTAGTTTGGGCAAGGATACACCTGACTGTCCTCTGGCAACAACTGTACTGGTAACCCAGACTAGCAGGGGATCCCTGTGCTTAAACTGTGTATGATGGTCCCTGGAGGGAAATGGGCAGGACCCAAGAGACCAGGGTGAAGCAGCCACCACTTTCTCCTCCTAGTGTGGATCCTGGCAGCAACAGTATTGGGGCCCCTCCTACCAGCCCACCCTGAAGCCTTTTTCCCTGCCACAGGTGTGAACGTTGAGTCTCGCCTGGATGACACGGGGACTCCTTGCAGGTCGTGGTGCCTCTGCTCCTGTCTCACAGACCTAATGGCCCACAGGGGTCAGTAGCTATGAACACCCCAGGGACTTCACCTGCACGGAGAGCAGCACCTCTGGTTATTCCCAGCTCTCCAACTCTGTCTATTCTCTACCTGTCTCCTGCTCTGCTCCTGCCACCTGCCACCCCTCACCTGCACACAGGTAAAGGTTCACAGGTGAGGGCTGGCTTATTCCTTCCAGGGCTCCTGTAGTCCCCACTTGCTTTGAGACAAGCATGTCCCAAGATCTCCAGGGTGGCTCCTGCTTACTTAGGGTCTCATCTCAATGTTACCTTGGAGACCCTTCTGCCTACCACTTGGTGGCTCATCTGTCCTCACAATACCCACCCCTGGCCAGGCTCTCTTCTCCTTTCTGTCTTTCTCCTCTCCCAATCACCTTTTGTCCTGGAGCACAGGTACTCCTCCCAACTCCCTAAAGTCTAATCAGATGCTCAGTAACTGCTGGCTGCATGAATGATTCAGTAGTTTTTGTTGTTGTTTTTAACATTTTCCTTTCATTAAGGATAGCTTAATTTGGGGAAAAAAATCCCCTATGCAAAAAACAAAACAAAACAAAACCCTATATTTAGAAACCAGATAATGAAGTGTCATTATCATGATGACTAGTTAAAGGAACACTTGCCTTTAATTTTCCAGTCTGACACTCAGAACCCTGTAAGCAAGGGGAGGTTGGGTCCAGGTGAACAGATGAGGAAACTGAGATTGAGAGAAATTAGGGGAGCGCTGTGAGCCACCTCATCCTCCAGTTCCAAGGCTTTTCACTAAGTGGGGTTTGCAAACTATTACCTGTGGGCCAAGTTTAGGCTCTTCCCTATTTTCTTGCAAAAGTTTTATTGGAACACAGTTGCTCCCATTTGCCCCTACATTGTCTATGGTAGTGCCACACTCCCCATAAGTGAGGCTGAATCGCTGTGAGAGAATTTGGGCCTCAAAGTTTAAATATTTACCATAAGACCTTCTATGAAAAAACACCTGGCCAAACCTACCCCTGAACATCCTAACCAGTTGCACAGCAGGCTTTAAATCATTCTTGTGGACCAAAACTCAGTTTCTGCGTAAGCATCCTATTTTAGCAATATTAGTTTTCTATGGTCCAAATGAGAGGAGAAATTTGACCCCTGGGCAAAGGTCAGGGAAGTTACCCTGGGCTTCCATAATAGATGTGTGGATCTTTGGAAACTCTCCCAGTCTCTCCCATGCCCTGCCTGGTAATAGCCACTGGCCATGCACACTGCTATTGATTTGCCTTCTCAGTGGCTCTCACACCCGAGCACGTCAGCACTTTGCTTCCAAAAGGGCAAACATGAAAGGTATAATTCTATAATCACTAAATTCTACCTCATTTTAGAAGAACAATATTACGACTGTGGGAGATTAAAAAGAAAACCCACAGAATACAGTGAAAACCTTTACCTTTATTTTATTTTTCAAAGATAGAGTGCCAAGATATTTCTGTTAATGGGATAATAAAAGAAACTATAATTGTTCAATAAAACTAAAATAGAGAATAGATATAAAAATGGGGAAAAGTCAAAAGAAAAAGATTAGGAGTGAGCTGTTCACTCTGCTGTCTTTCTGACTCTGTACAGAAAAATTGGGGACGATTTTCTGCTCCCTTTCAGAAAGAGGGAGGCACAGTGCTGGAAGGTAGGGAACCACAGGAGGGGAATCTGGGCACTGGGAAGCACCAGTATACGCTTGATGCTTGTGGGCTTTTGCAGGGTTCCTAGGGGGCCCAAAGTGGAACCTGCAGGGTGGCCCTTCCCAGTGGCTCACCTCTGGCCACACTGCCCTGTCCACTCATGTCAGGGCTACTGTTCTGTATCACACAGGGCATAATGTGGGAAGGTCTGTCTGGGCTGTCTGGCTTTGCGGATGGGTGGTACTCACTGGTGACATCTAGGTAGGTGTGGGTCTGGACCTCCCCTCCTTCATTACTGGCAAAGCACTGGAAGATTCCAGAGTCCTCTGGACGCAGCTTCTGGATGCGCAGGCCCCCACTGGGCGTCACTTGGTACCGAGGGTTCTGGAGCTTGTTGATGGAGACAGCATCCTTGTACCACTGGAGGGTGGGGAGTGGGACCCCTGGATAGAAGTGGAAGTAAAGATGCATTTAAAAGAATTCCAATAGTGCCTAATATGAGGGCTGAAGCAAAACTAACTAAAATGACTTCGTAGGCATTTTTTCGTCTATTTGCCCTTTCAACTACCTATAAGGGGTTATTTTTCTCATCTTATGTGAAGAAACTGACACTGAGAGGCATTGAGAAGAGAGGGCTAGGCATGGTAGTGTACATCTGAAATCCTAGAAGACTGGGAGACTGAGGAGGCAGGATTATAAATTTCAGTCCAGCCTGGGCAACTTAAATGAAGACCCCGTCTCAAAATAAGAAAACAGCTGGGGATGTAGCTCAGTGTGAAGACCCTGAGAGAGAGGGAGAAAGAGAGGGCAGAGAGAAGAGAAAGGAGAAAAGAGGACAGAAAAAACAGAGGAGAGTGGGCGTGATCTTTGGATGTCCAGACCTTAGACCCTTCTAGTTTTGGCCCAAACCAACACACATTTATGCTCCTTTTTGGAAAGACTCTCGACTGTGACTGGCCTCAAGACTGGGATGGAGATGAAGGTCTCAACTCTGCCCCTATAGGGCCACTGGCACAGGGGGCAGGACAAAGGTCACTGCCTAGGTCTGCTCCTCTTTGGCTGTACCCTCTTGGGCAGAATACTTCACCTGCTTTTGCCTCTGTTCCCTCATATACAGGAAAGGAAATGATCACTGTGACCTCGCTTGAAGATGATATGCATTTATATATAAAGTTCTTGCTCGGCACACAGTGAGTGTTTGATGGATAGAACTCATTGACACAAGCAACCATAATCAAAGTGGGAACAATCTCTTAAACACTGTCTGCTAAAAATCACTGGATTAGATAAAAATGTCCCCTCAGATGTTTGGAAGATGACTGGACCACGGGGGTGCTATACTCATCAGTGGGTTAATCCATTGATGAGTTCATGACTAAGTGTGTTGTTAGGAGCTAGGGTCCAGCTGGGGAAGGTAGATAAGCACCTTTAGGGGGTATATATTTTTCTCTGGTTTATTTCTTTCTTTCTGCTATGTGGATGCCATGAGTTGAGCAGCTTTCCTCTGCCATATCCTTCTTCCATGCTACTTCTGCCTTGGAGCCAGTTGCCTGTGGGCTGAACCCTCTGAAAACATGAGCCAAATAAACCTCTCTTCTTTTTAAGTTCTAGATTTCAGGTATTTTGTCCCAGCAATAAAAAAGTGGGTAATGTATCTTCTGGTCAAGGGGCTGACGTTGCTCATTGGAATGGAAGCCTACAGAACAGGAGAGCACGTCATGAGATTGAGTGGCAAGCATGTGAAATGTGTCAGGTTAAAGGGTAGATATAGGTAAGGTGTCATATTCTGGATGTAGCTCCATAGGATCAACATGAGATAGGCAGATGGCAAGGAGGGGCTGCAGCATGACTCTGTTCTGACATTCCAAGAGCCTAGTGATCCAGGAACATGGTTAAGGGTTAGATTAGGAGGATGAGAGGGCCAGAAAGGCTCAGCACAAAGCACCACTCCTGCTTGTCCCTTCTTCACGGCAGTGGTATTACAGACAGAAATACAGCCTTGAGTCAATGCTCAGCGAGCCCTGAAGGAAGGCAAGGTGGGGCTGGGAAGGACAGACAGTGGAAGCAGGGCAAGTTCACAAAGGACAGAACCTGGGTTGTAAATAAATGAGATTGTTCTCAGCCTAAGAGAGTGAGGATCTCTGTGGCTTGTCCTCTACACACCTGAGGTGGGGACATACAACAGAGGTGCTGATGAGTGAATGCTGTTATGTTATATAGGGAAGCTCTGGGCTGGAGACACTAAGCTCTTCTCCTGGTACCTTCTCCACACGGCTGGGCAACAAGCAATGAGGAAGGCTTCTTCCCTGGAACTTCTCCCTGACCCTTCCTCAAGTCCAGGAGGTCAAATCTACCCAAGAAAAATAAACCAAATAGGGTAGAAAGGCTCACACAGAGCCAGATCAACCCACACAAGATAATGCACCCCAGAAATACAGCAGACATAGGGAAGTAAGGAAATACTTAGACTTAGTTCTAGATCTCAGATGGTTCTTCTGTTCCTTGATTTCTCTAAATATAAATTAGATTGCAATAAAAGCATATCTTGCTATGATTTAGTGGCAAGCACAGCCGAATTCCTTGATTCAGGAGGCTATATAGGCAGGGGCAATACGTCCACTTTAATAAATACAGTTAATATCATGGATATTTCAAGATAATGTGTTCTCAGATTCTATTCTTTGCCTTAATTATGTTTCCTGTCACCTTTCATTATATCAGGAAACTTAAAAAAAATCAATTTCAAGGTAAAAGCATAACCAATTCATGTAAAATCTCATAATGGCAATTACATGATGTAGCTTTCATAAAGAATCCCCACTCCATGTGCTGCTAGAGTTTCACTGACAAAATTAACAGAAAGCAGTAAATTATATGATGGCAAAGCAATGTTGAAATACCTGCTTGGTATATATTTATAAGCCTATGTTTAACGAACAGTTTGCCCTGTAGAAATCATGCGATAAAGAACTTTCTCTTGTCAAAGGGAGAGTTTAAGATTGTCATTTATTGAAAAATAATTGTTAGTACATGGGGAACTAGGAGTATTTTTACTTGGGGGCAATTCAATGCTATAAAGAGAAATAGTATCTCCCTAGTAGGGTCTATGCTCATTTTTGAAATATAAGTACTGTAAATATTTTATAGCTTCGTATTCACAGAGCTGTCCTTAAGAAACTGGTGTTTATACAAGAAAGAACAAAGCAACCACAGTGAGGAAAGTATGTCCACTTGGAATTCAGAATGCTCTTGTCCTGCCTTTTCCTTCTCCTCCCCTGCAATTGTGTGGGTAGAGCCAGAATGGAGAATAACAAGAACACAGCAGACTTGCAGAAGGTGGTCATCGTGAACTGATTGGAGCTGGGGCCAGAAGGATGAAGGAAACAGGTCCTTTGGGCAGGAGCAGCGCTACACAAACCACAGGTGCTACTGCCACATACACTGCTCAGTGAGATGCAGCACTCACTTTCAGAAGTGAAAGACAACATGCACATAGTTGTGCCAACCAAGCACGGTGTCTGCTCTGAGCCCCAGGCCTCAGCTCCCTGGAGGAGCTGACAAACTGGGGTTTGGATCCTGTCTCTATTACTGCATGACCCCAGCATTTAATGAGCAACTTCTACATGCCAGGAATTGGGTGGTGATTTTACAAGCACTATCTCCTTCCATCTTCACGGCTCTGAGCACACTGCTTACCCGTGCTGTCTGGCTTGAGTTTCTCATGTGTACAATGAGATGATGTCTTCCTCGGGGAACTGTTTCAAAGGTTTACACAACAGGTAGAACCCTTACCCTACAGCTCTTGAGGGCAAAAAAAAAAAAAAACACCCTTTAGATGCCAGGTCTACACAATCAGGAAAAGACCCTTTCACTTCTCAGCAGGTGCCAGAATCTAAACACAGGTTTTGTCAATGAAATTGCCTTGAGGAGCTCATCTCCCTGAGGAGTTGTGGGATGCCCTGTGCTGCCTGACCTGGGCAGGGAGCTAGCAGCCAAGGCAGGGGAGGGAGAGGGAATTACATGAAGAACCAACGAAAGTCAGCACAAAGCTGAGAAAGCAGAAAAATAGGAAATGTCTTATTTTTTAAAGTGTAGAACAATCTCCTATGTTTACTGGGCCCAAGTGCTCATCACAAGGTCCCTGCGGGGACGAGTCCAGGGGTTACACCCTTAGAACCCAGGCACCTAGAGGGGAGGTCCAGGCCATGCTGTGTCCCCTCTGTTTGGATGGAGCAGGTGGGGAGAAGGTAAATCTCAGTACCCAGGGTCGGGGATTTAGCCCAGTGGTTCTGCCACCTGCCTCCCAAGTACAAGGTCCCGAAAAAATGCCAAATCTCAGTACCCAGTGTTACAGGTAAGGCAGTAAGAGCTCCACCAGGTCTAGAGCTTCCCCAAGGTTGGCCTGGTACTGAGTTCTTCCATATCCCCAGTTGGCTCCCACCCTGTGATGAACTCACTGACTCCCTAGAAGGATAACACTGTCATAGTCTTTCCTCCACAACAGACTCCAGTCCAGCCACTCACCCATGGCTCGACATGCGATTTCCACTGTCTCTTCCACTTCACCTAGAATCCGACTCTCAGGCTCAGCAGTAAAATACGGTGGCTCTTTAAAAAAGAAACAAACAAGCAAACAATAGTCCCTAAGTAAAAGAATGATGCGTAAAAGGCCACAATAGCCCAATGTAGTTTGAGATCCTTTTAAAAACGATTTCTAAAAACTTTATCATTAGTGACTATCACACACACCAACCAGAATTCAGCCACCAGTGGCAAAAGGCAATTTATATTCTTAGGTTTCAGAAAGCAAATTAGTACTTAGGGTGATGGCTACTTCTCCGTTTATGGGCTTGAATCATAGAATATCTTAATTCACATTTTAGAAGGACCATCCCAAGAGGTTCATAAAGGTTTATATTTACAGCACAGTATTTTATAGGCTAGTTTGCTTCAGTATCTAAACTCAACACCAACTCACGAAGCATGTCAAATGAAGTGCCACAGCAAGGCACTAAGCCTGTATCTGGGAGGAGTGCTGTCTTTTAACATATTTTTTAAAATCTTAGCAGTTCTCCAAAATGTAGATTTAATACTGCAATGGAATGCAAAATAACAGCAAAGAGAAAAAAAGAGGAAGGCTCTTATCCATCTTTAAGAGCAAAGGAAACTCTTAGTTACTCATATATCTCTAGGCTCTCCACTAGCCTGTGCAACAAAACATAGTCATTGTATTAAACAATGAATTTCCTTAGAGAGTAAATTGCAATATTTTTCTCAGTTTACTCAGCAGAAATTCAACAGAGGCATTGTTGAATTCAAGAGTATTAAGGTGGTAGTGATTTCATTATCACGATAACAAAAGGGATCTGTATTCACTTTCTGTGTGATAATTAATTTCTGGGGACTGTCTTCCAGAGTGGCTTATTTTCATTGTAATTGTGTTGAATGTGGATAATATAGGTTGGCATGCCTCCTGTATTGACTGTATCATTAAAACAGGGTGGAGCCCAGACAAGAAAACAGAAATGAAAACGTAGCATTTCAAAGAAATGATTAAGGAAAAAGGCTGAAGGTTTCCTAATGCAAAGTTAGGTATCAATTCTGTAATTACCCAGACCACTCGAGCAGAAACAATCTGCCTGAGTTACCCACTCTGGCTGTGGATATGACTGCGAATTCACTAGGTGGAAGCAGAATCCTCTGCTTAGACGTTGTGGGCCCCTTTTCCAAGCTGGCCTCTACACACACAAACATTCCTACTGGGTCATGTCTCTTTAATCAATAGTAATGATGGCAAGGTTATTTATATCCTAACATGCAGTGACTGCTTCCTGTCAGAGCCTTGTGAGCAGGTCATGCCCCATATTCATTAATGAATGCTACAGTCAATATCAACTATTATGACCTGGTTAAAGGGCTATAAGGGGAAAGGGGTAAAACTTAAGTTAAACATCAACATTTGCTTATGATTAATTATGGCTTTTATTTCTTAGTCAAATATTTTATTTTTTAGGGGATTGCCGAGTGCCACGGAGTTGAAGAAATAATAGAGAAGACCCATGTATGCTTTCCTCCCTTTGTCCATGGTAACACCTTGTGAAACTACAGTGCAATATCACAACCAGGATACTGACATGGATTGGATGCAGTCAACCCACTTTAACCAGATCTCTCCAGTTTTGCTTCTGTGTGTGTGTGTGTGTGTGTGTGTGTGTGTGTGTGTGTACACATGCACTCACACACACATTTTCAATGCTATGTACTGTTATTGCAAATATAGGTCTGTGAGTCCACACCATGTCAAGATGCAGAATGGGCCACTATCACAAGAATTTTGCCCACCCCAAACTCCAGTTCCTGGCAACAACTGGCCTGTTCTCTATACTTCTGCCATTTGGAGAATGTTATATAAATGGCGATACTAATGTAGGAGATAGGTCATGGCAAAGCTGGCTGGGGACATGAGTGGGGCCTGACAATTACAAGATCCCAGAACAGTGCCAAATAATTCTCAAGACCTTATATGTGGAACTTCTTGCAGGCTCCCACAAGCTGTGGAAGGCACAACAAATATGAAATGCCAGGGGGAGCCTGCCATCCTGCCTTTCCACAATAGCCCCTGCTGCCTTTCCCAGACACAGTGTATACTTTTATCTTCTTTTTTCTCTTGTTCTGCCCAAGTTTGCTCTGCAGAGGCAGTTCTTCCCATATCCCTTTACCCAACACTTTTCAAATAAACTTTTGGCACCATTGTTGGCTTGTCTCATTCTATTGTTTGTTCGTGGCAAGAAGGACCTGGAATATTTCTGATTCCCGAGCCAACCCAGTAGCAGTATAGTACGCCACCTTTGGAAGAGACTTTTTTCAATCAGCATGATTCCTTTCAGATTTCATCAAAAGTGAGTTATACTTGATAACATAATATGTATGTATATGTGTTCACCACCTCTAGTACTGTAGCACCTTTCCCCAGGGAGTGATTATGCCCCCAGCTTCTCCAAATAATTCAGCTGGGGCCACAGGCAAGGAGTTTACTTAGTGACTTTGGGGCTGGGACATGCATTTGGAATTTCTAGGCCTGGCTGAGGACACTCCTCCCTGATCACAGTCACCCCACCCCAGCCAATCCCCATGTGGACATGGTGGACCAGGCCCTCCCAGGCAGGAATTCCCCCTCCTCACTCTGTAGCACCTGGTTGGGAAGGACAGCCTACCAGGTCCTTGCAGAGCTCACCTGCATAGCTTACAGGGTAGAGTACTTTGGTTCAGCATAGACACTCTCACCTGTTCCTGCCAGGTGATCTAGCCAGCAAGCAGAGTGGGTATGGGGCTGCCACTGGTCCTTCAGGCCCTGAGGCATCTGCTCTTCGTAGTCCTTTCCCCATCATACACCATACACCCCAATCTCACAGCTTGCCCAGGTGCTCTGGAAGTTTTCTACATCCCTAGCTACAGTTTACAAGGTCTGTTAGGAGGAGGAAAAGTGGGGAAAATACCAGGCTCATCAGCCATGAGGACTGTGAGCTAAACTGTAGGAAAGGTCTACTGTGAACAAGTCATCTTCAGCACAGACTTAATCTTCAGAGGGCAAGAGGGTGAGCATGTGTTTTAGAGAATCACCAGCCCTCTTTTGAGGGCAGTATGCTGCTAACACAGTCCTACACTGGACTTCAAAAATTTGGTCACAACTATAGTCAATCAAATGGGATTGAAAGGGACACTTTTATCTCTTTTGAAACAGTATGAAGATATCAGGTAAAGGTTCTCATGTCCTGTGTTAAATCAGAGTTGAGACAAAGCCAGCATGGGCCAGCTGTCCTCCTGGAGGGGCACAAACTGCCAGCCCCATAATCTCAGAACTAGAGTAGGGATGATCTGTAGGAAGCCTAAGACTATGGACCACTATCAAGTCCCTTACTCACCCCAATGCTGGGGAAGAGTGTGGGTTTCAGCACACAGGAAGCAGCCTTGGTGGAAACCAAAGATTCATCATGCTTTATGGTCCTCAGTGCTAGGTTGCAGCTTCCAAGTTTCAGGACTTGTCCTGAACAAGGATCACTGCAAGATCCAAAAGCACTTACTCCCCTGTTCTGCCTTCCCTTCCCTCCAGGGAGCAGAGGTCCTGTGGCATGTCCTTGGCCACCATCACTGTCCATAATCAGGTGGCTCTGTCCACTGTGGTGTCCACTCCCCACTTGAGTCTCCAGAACCTGAGAGCATGCACTATGTGGCAAGAGGAGCTCTGTAGATGGGAGTAAGATTACCAACACAAAAAATGATCAATTGGGAGACTGTCTTACACCATCTCAGTGGGCCTGGTCTACTCTCATGAGCCCTTAAGGGAAAAGTGGAAACTTTCCCACCTGGGGAAGCCAAAGGGAGGGCAGAGAAATTTTGAAGTGGGAAGTCAGGCAGGCAAGTGGGAAGGAATTTATATAGGGATATGAACATTTAATAAAAGAGTTTCATCACCAGAAGACTGCAGAGTAATGCTACAGAATAACTTTACAACTATGATACTGGTATCAACTGAGTCATACTACCAATAGTCTGTTCATTTAATAACAGTTAAGGGATTTAAATTTCTGCATGATTTGTGTATAAAAATCAGAATGGATGTGAGACAGAGATAGCTCTTTGTGTCAGTCTCTGTCACCCTCCTGGGTTTTTGGGTGGGGGTGAAAGAGCTTGTGTGCCAAGGAATGCACACTCATGGGGCAGACAAGGGGATGAAAGCCACTACTTTGGTGTGATGAGCAGATGTGAAGTCTGTTGGTCTGGATGGGAAGGTGTACATGCTCTGCCCCGGAATTTAGGAGGCTGTAGCTAGTTGGAGGAATCATTGGTTCATTTATCTCCAGAAAGAAGCAAGGCTTCCATGTCAGTGAGGCACCTCCTGACTTCAGAGATAAGAAGTGTGAGAAGTGTGCATATATAAACTGGTGAAGGTAAGTAACTAGTACACGTGACGTGTTATAACAGAGTTAGGCCAACAGCAAATGGAGCTGCCATCTTATGCTTCTGTGGCAACACTGAGCCACTAACTTTCACCATGAAAACTGATGGCCTTATCCACATCTCCAGGTTAGGGATGTGGAAACTGAGGGCAACAGCAAAGACACTTATTTAGGTCAGTTATTGGTAAAGTCAAAAGTTGATGCCAGAATCCACACTATTAGACATTATGCTATGCACCCCTCTGGCATGTTCCAAATGCTATAGTGCACAACTGAGAGAGAGTATCAGCAGAGGTGATGTCTGAGAGGGTCTTGAGGGGCAAAGCCCTACTCCTCTTTAACAGCTGAGGTGATCCAGGGCAGAAGAGCAGCCTTCCAGGCACTGCTGTACACTTGATTTGGCTCTGGCTGGTCCCCCAGAGGAAGCTCTGGCAGGGCTGAATGCCAGCTGCATGGGGGAGAGTGGTGGCAGCACCTCAAGGCAGGGAAGTCACTTCAAAAAGCCTGTTACCAAGCATCTCCACTGTGGGTGACTGGTACAGTACCCTTCAGGATAACTTGGGAACCACTGCAGAACACATCCCCACCAATGAGAAGTGGGGAGCCTGGGTGTGTCCTTGCCAGCTCCCATCAGATACTGGCCAAGGGCTGCTCCTGGGATGTGGATTCTCTGCACTTCCTATCTGTCGTGGTTGCCAAAGTTGGTTCCAGGGGCTGGAGGACACCTCCAGGAAGGAGGTACAGGTGACACAGGAAGGAGTTGTGCTCTGAAGCAGGGAGGCCAGGGGACATGTGCCACTGTCTTGTCGCATCCAGAGAACAGAGCAGTGTGCCACATGAAGAGGCTAGAGGAGCTGGTCAGGAGGAGGTCTGTGAGAGACAGAAGCACAGCTGAGTACAGTGAGGTGATGGGGACAGAGACGCCAGGCCCTGGAGCTACTGACCCCGAGGAGTGGGCATCACACTTCCTGGATCACAGCGTGGGGCTCCCGTTCAAACCTCAGGAATTGAGCAATATTGTAGAAAAGGTGACAGGTAGAATAAACAGCCACAGCCAGCCTGTCTTGTCTCATCAATGTGAAATAAAAGTAACTGGAAACCAATTTGTTTTTGTTTTCTTTCATCTGCATGTTCACATTGATAGCTCTTTTCCCAGTTCCGCCAGTGACAGCCTTGTGAAATTGCCCTGTTTCCGGAGGATCCTTTTGTGGAGTCTGGGCTCAGAGTGATAATCTCACTCAGATCCCCAGAATTGACAGAGACACTCTCTTCAGGGCTTTTCCAGTGTGATCTGACCACAAAATTTCACCTGTCACAGAAGATTCTTATGAATAAAAGGGGACTTAAATCAACATCATAAGAAGTAAAGTGTGTTTGTGTGCCTTTAAAAAGAAAAAAAACAGAGATGAAAACTGCAGAACACAGAAACAGTCTGCTTTGGAATTCTGAAATAAACACAAGATCAAGGTTCATATGATAGATTTAAATACTTGAGAAAGGAATTATGATGGAAACAAATATTTTAGTTTATAGGGAGATACATTTCCTCTCTTGTTTAAGTTACCTTAAAATGTTTTAACACAATACAGTCTACTAGAGATTTACACATCACAAATTTTAATTTTGGTTCAATCTATAATGCACCATGTTCATATAGTTGTACATCAACCTTGATGAAAAGTCTCTGCAAAGAATGGGATGTGGCATTTATATCTACAGCCAAAGTGCAGCAAGAAGGGAGGAGGCAGTAACAGGAGCATTTCAGGCCCCACATCTGATACCAAGCAGTTTCTCAGCCACTTTCTCCATTCTTGCCTATCTTTTAGAGGGGCTGATAGGCTTGTGTGACATTATCCTTAGCATAGTCACACAGGGGACACAAAGCCACCTCCTAAAGATCTATGGGAATGTGAGAATGCTTAAGGCAACTGGCTTTTATGGAGAACCCCTTGATGCTCTTGCTAATTTCATAGGAAAGTACAAGTTTTTACTTTTTCTAGTTTTGCAGAGTGACAAACTGCAAAATGCATTATTGGAAGAACTACTGCTCTCGGAAGAATTTCTTATTGGATCTTTCTCCAATTGAATCTGTTGGATCCAAGTGGATCTGTTCTCAGTTCCATTTCCTTTGGGAAGGGAGATACAGCAGGAATTCTGCTGGAGTGGACCTATGAGGCAGTTTGATCAGCAGTGGCCAGCATGGAGAAGGATGGGTCACCAGGACTCTAATCACAGCAACTCAGGAATAAACACATGATTATGACTGGAACTGGAGGAATGAAAGAAATGAAGGCACTTGATTCCCAATTTAGTATAATCTTTACATAATTTGATAAAAACTTAAGATTTCCTCAGCTACTGGACAAAAGCATGCTTTCTGATCACCGTTATTTTCCAGCATTCAGAATGAGGCAACTTACATATGCTCAATCTTATGTCCTGTTCCTGTTCCTGGGTAAATACTTAGCCCATTTTTAGGTTGCAGCTCTTTTCTCACTTTTCAATTTAACCAAAAGCAACATCAAATAGTTTTAGCTTTCTTCTGGGTCAAAACTTAAGTGACAATAATAAAACAACTGAACATAGACTGTAACAGCCAGAAACATAGATTGTAACAGAAATTGAACATAGACTGTAACACAGACTGTAACAGTTAGGGAGAAGCCAGGGGCAGAACGGGCTGACTAGGCAGGCAATTTCCATGATGAACTTTGCCTCCTTCCCATGCTTCAGGATTAGACACGTTCCTGGAAATACTAGGAATAAACTCACTTTGGATTTAATGAATTCACATTCTTAGAAACAAAGAAAAGGAAGATAACCTTAACCATAAAGTGGTAAGATACAGGATTGCTGTTGTGTGGCCCAAAAGCGTTGCGGTTGGGATGCTATCTGAGGATGCTGACAGTGTCTTTTTCTTGTTTGAGTATTTACCTATGATGGAAAGGAAGGCCTTGGCCCTGGCTGGCTCAAAAGCACTCCCCTGTAGTGTCGCCTCACAGACATATAGCCCTGTGTCTGCGGAGGTTGGGTTGGAGATGGTGAGGCGTCTCCCGAAGCTGTGGAGCCCGCTGGTCAGTCTCACACCATTTCTCTTCCAGTGCACAGTCAGCTCTTCCACAGGTCTGCAAGAGCAAGGGCGTTGATGACAATGATTGTGAATCATGTAGATGGCGATAATAATAATTTCAGGCATTCAGCACCAGCTTGACAAAGCTAATTCTAACAGGAACCACGGTGGGTTGAACAATGGACATTTAAAAATCAATCCAGATACAGCTCTACTCTCTCATGGCAAGTACCACCAACATATTCTGCTCAAGGGCTATTGAGCAAGGATAGCTAATTGCAGCAGCAATGGACCATAAGTGTTAATGATTCCATTTGCTCATAAAAAGAATGTTTAAAACAAATACTACTAGCGGACACTATAGCTATGCAGGAGGTGTGATCATTTGAACTCCATTCTGGGGTAACCAGAAGCAAGCAGAGAACACTTAGGACTACAGAGTGGGAGAAGGATTGACCTTTTTCCTTGGCTACCAAGAGCCTTGTTCCTTTCTCCTCCCTAGCTAGTGCCACAGATTAGGTGCCCTTAACCATCACCTACAGGTAAAGTGAAAGGCATTGCCTAATGAAGGAGGAAGCTTGGGGAGTGGTGCAGCATGGTGCACAGGAAAACAAGTAAGCTGCTGCTGCTGGAAGAGAAGAGCTCATGTGTCACTCTTCCTGCTGAGGGCTCCTCCCTGGGACTATTTATTCGTTAGTACAGGTCCAGCAACCCTTAGCCAAAATGCTGGGGACCACAGTATTTCAGATTTTTTTGTTTTGGAATATTTGCACATATATAATAAGATACCTTGAGAACAGGACTCACATCTAAAGATGAAATTCATTTAAGGTTCATCTACATTTTATATACATAGCCTGAAGGAGTCGCTGAGCAATATTTTTAATGCACCTGTGTTTTCACTGTGACCATGAGGTCAGGGGTAAAATCTTTCCTGTGTGACACTATGTTAATTCTCTAAAAGTTCAGACTTTGGAGCATTTCAAGTTTCAGGTTTTCAGATGAGGGACGTTCAACTGAGGTGGCCACATCTAGAACATGACTGTACCTGGCACTGGCAATGCACTCCAAGGTGGTCTCACTGGATCCAGCTACCACACTCCTATTGCCTGGGGCAACCACAATGATGGGGGCCATTGCTTCAGGTGTTCCAATATCTCCTGTGGCAGAGAAAAGAAAAAAAAAATCCATGGAACGCTCCTCAGAATGGAAGATGAGATGATGGCAATATGACAAGTGGAGGATCTTGTCAAGTCAGGTTGATAGGAAATCCAGAATCTCTTGACCTGCTAGAACTCCCCCTGAGAAGCCAGGCCTCTGCTGTCAGACCTTTGGCGCCTGGTTCCACACACAGCCCGTCTCCTCTGCTGGAATCCCAGCCAGGGATTAGAATGCACGGTACCTGAAGGCATCCTCCTACTGCCCTGTGCATCCTGTGGCTAAGGAACTTTCACCTACTCAGCATTTTTCAAAACACTTGCTGCCCCTATTCTTCTCCATTGATTTAAGACCTGCTAATTGAGTTGCCTAGTAACCCACTATTTTCAAATTCAGCCAACTGCATAAATTCGTCACACGCCAGGCACTCCACTAGGCACAGAGGTCAATAGAAGCAGCTGCAGTGTGACTCCCTGGAGCACACACATTTCTTTAACAAAGTATAAAGTTCTTTTACTGCAGTTCCAATCCTTTTTTCTCTCTGCAAAGTAAATACCCTGAATCCATCTCTGTTTTGTGAGTATCAAACCATAAATAATTTAGCTTATATTTTTGGTGACAAGGAAGAAAAAAATAGGATGCATTTTTTGCCACTTTCTTGTAAGACACATTTAGCGTCAAAATTAAACAACCCACAGCACACTTTACTACTGTTTATTTAGGGAAAATGAAGACTGAACAACACAGAATAGGGATTTCAATAAGAATAGGGATGTATGAGACTGGAAATAAAAACAAATTTAAACAACGGCAAATGCAAAATGCCTTCACTAGTACTTTCATTTGGAAGAGCCTGTCACTGCCCCAGAGTAGAGAACTCTGGCCAAGGGAAGGTTTGGCCTGCTGGCTGGTGGAGAACTCACAACCATGGAGAGGGACTGAAAGGTGGGAGGATGCCTTCTAACCAGCAGGGATTCCCACGGCTCTGTGTCTGGTGTCCACTGACTGAGGAGGCAGTGATTTGTGTATTAAAGGTACTAAAATGGGGGTGGGGGAGTTTGGTGCAGACAGTCAGCAAATTAATTTTCTTAAATATGTGCACTGATCACAGTATAGGAGGCCAAATCTCACAAACCTCGATCCCCTGCAGTGCTAGAGATCCCCCGCAACCTGGGCTTCCAAAGCCCCCTCCACAGTCCTCTGGGGGCACTCATAAACTTCAGGGACTGTGGGGTACACGTCCGATTCCTGAGCGGAGGCCAGAGCCAGACATACCAGGACAGGTGTGCACTAAAGGCTAGTCTGAGAAACAACTGGCTCATAACCTGTGAAAGTCGATGAAGAGGAGAAACGATTCGGAGAGCTAATATTTGCAAATAGTCATGAGAAGTGAAGGAGAGCAGCAGTGAAAACTGAAAGGTCACTGAGCAAGGTGCTCACTTGGCATTAATCACTGCGCAGCCAAGAGGCAGAGAGGAAGCACACGCTCAGCACACATGGCTGCCTGGGGAGGAGAGCCTAGTTCCTTGTTCTCTTTTGTCCAGGTTGCATAGAGAAATTGCTCACAGCGCCTCTGGACATGTGGGATGGAGGGGCCATTCCACGAAGGCTTCAGCCATATCCATAGAGTGGTGAAGAAATCCTTAGATTGGGTTCATTTATATCATACATAAGCACACAAAGACCTGACAAGCACAGTGCAAGTTGAGGAACTCGCTTGATTCAAGTTAGGTAGATGCGATCTGTACTCTAATCCAGCCCTCCAATTCCAACTTTGGAATTCTAGTGACACAGAAACCATACAGGATGCTGGTCAGAGAAGCAGATGGTGAAGTAGACACACTAGTACCTACAAAGGGAGGCCACCATATACACACAGGGTTTTTGGTGAGGTGAATCTGACCAGTGGGAGTCGCCATAGCAAGATGGAAGCAAGGTGTGTAGGTCTTCTGACACAACCCCATGTGTTTCAGTTATATAAAACTTTACACAAGTGTCTGGACTCCAGGCATCCCAAAAGTAAGGGTAGCACTTAATATGTTACCCAAGTCTGATACACCTTCTTCTTTGAAAAGGTTGCTTTAAAATTTCAGTTAGATTCATGAAAAAGAACAGTAGAGATTTAAAATAAAGCAATCCCCTCACTCTGCCAAAGGCAACCTCTTTTAAATCCTTTAATGTATCATTCTAGTTTGACCCCATGTTTTAACTTTATATATCTACTGCTATTTTTTGATCAATTGATTTTAGGCATTATTGACTTACTGCTGTGATGGATGAGCTTGGAACTCACACTATTTCACGTCTCCTCTCAAACAGTATTTTCAGTTCTTCTGTTATTTATGTTCCTTTGGAAGGTTTTATATGTGTGTGATATATTATATATAAATAATAATATATATAAATGTATATACTGAAATTTAAGTATTTAAAGTATTAAGTACAAACCTTTTATAAAGGCAATTAGAAATCCTAAGAATACAAGAGATCTGTATCAGAAACACAATCTTTGAATACTACCTTGCTTTGCAGTAATCTTTACATAAAAATAATTTTACATATTTAACTTTTTCAATAACAATCAACAGTCAAAATAATGGTTATGAAACACAACACAAATGCTATTAACCTTGATGACATAAAAATAAAACTACAAAAGACAGAACTACATGGAGGAGCAGAGAAAAACTGAAGGGAAGGTCGTTTCCCATTATACCAAGACAAAGAAGAGTATGTGCTTGCCCTTCAACCAGGAAATAATAAAGGGTATGTGTGCACCTGTGCACACACATACATACATACACATTACCTCTGTAACTTTAAAATATCTTTCTTGCTCTTTATAGCTCTATGTAGTTTTTTTTTTTTTTTTTTTTTTTTTTTTTTTTGGTACTGGGGATCAAGCTCGGGCCCTTGAACTTGTGAGGCAGGTGACAGAACCACTGAGCCAAATCCCCGGCCTCTCTCTCGGTACAGTTAAAGGTACAAAGGTAACAAACTAAAAATACAGTTATGTTGAGAGGTTGTGTAAAGTAGTGTGAGCTGAAATCTCATCCATCTTAGCAGAAGGTTAAGGGATAATGTCTCAAACTGGGAAGTTAGGAAATAGCAATAGAGATACAGAGTTAAATGCTCAAAGGTTAAATTGAGGAGATGCCTTTGGCATGACAGTAGGGGAAGCTGGTGCATTTCTTCCTTCTGTACTGTCCTCTTAACTGCCTGTGAGGTAATCTTGAAACACAGATCCACTGGTCCTGTCGGTGTGGCAGTGTCATCCTGAGATAGCCCCTTACTGCATTCTGGGAGACATCCAGTATCCTGCACCTCATACCCGCCTTGACTTTTGTCCTCATTTTTTCTGTAGAATCCTCAAGTGGCTTCCTAAGAAAAGTGTGCATTCAAAAGGTGATTTTTCACTGTTTTTTGTTTTTTTTTTGTTTTTGAGTCAGGGTCTTACTATGTAGTTGAGACTGACCTGGAACTCACTATGTAGCTCAGGCTGGTCTTGAACTCACAGCGATCCTCCTGCCTCAGCCTCCCGAGTGCTGGGATTACAGGAGTGCACCACCACACCCAGCTGATTTTTCAAAGTTTTTGAATGACTGGAAGTAACATTATTCTATTTCCATGTGTGATCATTTTCCTGGGCAAAAAAAAACCCAAGGAGGAAAATCATTTTGCCTTAGACTTGAGACATTGCTCCACTGTTTTCTAGTATCTAATGTATAGAGAAGTCTTATACAGGTTCCATTCTGATTATTTATAGGTCATGTTTTTGTTATTTCTCTCTTCCAACTTTTGGGATATTCTCCATATGTTTGGAATTATCTTTATATATTTTTTCATATACTGTTGCAGGAACTTGGTAAATTCAAGATGAACATCGTTTTGTATTAGTTCCTTTATAATTTTTCCTGTTTTTGTTTTTGTTTTTGTTTTTTTTTTTTCTTTCTAGGGCTTACATTGGTTGGATTTAGGCCTCTGGATTGATTCAATATGTAACTGATCTTTCTCTAATTTTTTTTTCTTCCTAATTTGGAATACATTTCCTCCACTTTATCTTCCAACTGTTCTTTTGAATTTTCATTTCATCAACAATACTGTAATAGCCAAGAGTAATTTCCTTCTCTGATTGTTCATGTTTCACAGCATCCTGCTTTTGTTTTATGGATGCAATACATTTTAAAATTATGTTTCATAGTAGAAGCTCTCTTAGAATGATCCTTAAGTGACCTTTTAAACTTAACGATGAAAGCTAACTAAGAGATCTGAACATTCGGCTTGTCAACTGACAGCTTCAATCAGGTATAAAACTCATTATTATATGAAAAGATTCTGAATCTTGGAGTACAGGAGGGCTTTTCTCCAGGGCCATTCCTTCTCAGTAGAGAAGAATCCTTCCTTGTCTGTCTGCCCACCTGTCTAGTTATTCCACCTGAATATTCCACCTGTAGTGGTAGGAATAGGAAATAGACGGCCCCATTTACAAACTTAGCCAATTTGCCACTTCTGCTCCTGCATTATAATGAGCTCCTCTATGATCCAGCTTCCTCCACACAGAGACCTTCTGCCCTGAAGGTCAGGGCTCCTCTCTCAGAGATCTGCTTCCCAATATTTTATCCCTCACTCAGTGATGGCCATTATCCTTTTTTTGTGTGTGCGGTCAGTGTTGACGTCACTCTTTCACTTCTTTATTGCTTTTAGTGAGTTTTTTAAAATCTTTATTTTATCCTCATGTGCTTTTCTTCCACTTTTAACTGGTCATGCTGAATTTCCTCTCCACATTCAATTTTTAAAAGAGGCTAAACAAATAGATAATACCCATTGACTGATTTGTGAATATTTGTCATAAATATTGTACACAGATGAGCCACCTCCCACTAATATAACCCCGACATTCCTTCAATGTTCTACATTAATACACATTTTAAAAACACCACATGCCAATGTATAAAGAAGTATTTTTTCAGAAGAATGAAAACAAGGGAAATCTATTCTACTG